ATCATAGACACAGACACAGAGAGACCATTATAGACACACAGACACCATTATAGAAACACAGACACAGAGAGACCATTATAGACACACAGACGCAGAGACATCATTATAGACACACAGACGCAGAGACCATTATAGACACACAGACACAGAGAGACCGTTAGACACACAGACCATTATAGACACACAGACCATTAGACACACAGACCATTATAGACACACAGACACAGAGAGACCATTATAGACACAGAGACCATTATAGACACACAGACACCATTATAGACACACAGACACAGAGAGACCATTATAGACACACAGACGCAGAGACATCATTATAGACACACAGACGCAGAGACCATTATAGACACACAGACACAGAGAGACCGTTAGACACACAGACCATTATAGACACACAGACCATTAGACACACAGACCATTATAGACACACAGACACAGAGAGACCATTATAGACACACAGACGATTATAGACACACAGACCATTATAGACACACAGACACAGAGACCATTATAGACACACAGACAAAGAGACCATTAAATACACACACACACGCAGAGAGACCATTATAGACACACAGACACAGAGACACCATTATAGACACACAGACGCAGAGACCATTATAGACACACAGACACCATTATAGACACACAGACACAGAGAGACCATTATAGACACACAGACACAGAGAGACCATTATAGACACACAGACACAGAGAGACCATTATAGACACACAGACACAGAGAGACCATTATAGACACACAGACACAGAGAGACCATTATAGACACACAGACACCATTATAGACACACAGATACCATTAGACACACAGACACAGAGAGTCCATTATAGACACAGACACAGAGAGACCATTATAGACACACAGACACACGCAGAGAGACCATTATAGACACACAGACACAGAGACACCATTATAGACACACAGACAAAGACCATTATAGACACACAGACACCATTATAGACACATAGACACAGAGAGACCATTATAGACACAGAGATCATTATAGACACACAGACACAGAGACCATTATAGACACATAGACACAGAGAGACCATTATAGACACACAGACACAGAGAGACCATTATAGACACAGACACAGAGAGACCATTATAGACACACAGACACCATTATAGACACACAGATACCATTAGACACACAGACACAGAGAGACCATTATAGACACACAGACACAGAGAGACCATTATAGACACACATACACACGCAGAGAGACCATTATAGACACACAGACACAGAGACACCATTATAGACACACAGACAAAGACCATTATAGACACACAGACACCATTATAGACACACAGACACAGAGAGACCATTATAGACACAGAGACCATTATAGACACACAGACACACAGAGACCATTATAGACACACAGACACAGAGACCATTATAGACACATAGACACAGAGAGACCATTATAGACACACAGACACAGATAGACCATTATAGACACACAGACACAGAGAGACCATTATAGACACAGACACAGAGAGACCATTATAGACACACAGACAAAGAGACCATTAGACACACAGACACAGAGAGACCATTATAGACACACAGACACCATTATAGACACACAGACGATCATAGACACAGACACAGAGAGACCATTATAGACACACAGACACCATTATAGAAACACAGACACAGAGAGACCATTATAGACACACAGACGCAGAGACATCATTATAGACACACAGACGCAGAGACCATTATAGACACACAGACACAGAGAGACCGTTAGACACACAGACCATTATAGACACACAGACCATTAGACACACAGACCATTATAGACACACAGACACAGAGAGACCATTATAGACACAGAGACCATTATAGACACACAGACACCATTATAGACACACAGATACCATTAGACACACAGACACAGAGAGACCATTATAGACACACAGACGATTATACACACACAGACACAGAGAGACCATTAGACACACAGACACAGAGAGACCATCATAGACACACAGACACAGAGAGACCATTATAGATACACAGACACAGAGAGACCATTATAGACACACAGACCATTATAGACACACAGACCATTATAGACACACAGACACAGAGACCATTATAGACACACAGACAAAGAGACCATTAAATACACACACACACGCAGAGAGACCATTATAGACACACAGACACAGAGACACCATTATAGACACACAGACGCAGAGACCATTATAGACACACAGACACCATTATAGACACACAGACACAGAGAGACCATTATAGACACACAGACACAGAGAGACCATTATAGACACACAGACACAGAGAGACCATTATAGACACACAGACACAGAGAGACCATTATAGACACACAGACACAGAGAGACCATTATAGACACACAGACACCATTATAGACACACAGATACCATTAGACACACAGACACAGAGAGTCCATTATAGACACAGACACAGAGAGACCATTATAGACACACAGACACACGCAGAGAGACCATTATAGACACACAGACACAGAGACACCATTATAGACACACAGACAAAGACCATTATAGACACACAGACACCATTATAGACACACAGACACAGAGAGACCATTATAGACACAGAGACCATTATAGACACACAGACACAGAGACCATTATAGACACATAGACACAGAGAGACCATTATAGACACACAGACACAGAGAGACCATTATAGACACAGACACAGAGAGACCATTATAGACACACAGACACCATTATAGACACACAGATACCATTAGACACACAGACACAGAGAGACCATTATAGACACACAGACACAGAGAGACCATTATAGACACACATACACACGCAGAGAGACCATTATAGACACACAGACACAGAGACACCATTATAGACACACAGACAAAGACCATTATAGACACACAGACACCATTATAGACACACAGACACAGAGAGACCATTATAGACACAGAGACCATTATAGACACACAGACACACAGAGACCATTATAGACACACAGACACAGAGACCATTATAGACACATAGACACAGAGAGACCATTATAGACACACAGACACAGATAGACCATTATAGACACACAGACACAGAGAGACCATTATAGACACAGACACAGAGAGACCATTATAGACACACAGACAAAGAGACCATTAGACACACAGACACAGAGAGACCATTATAGACACACAGACACCATTATAGACACACAGACGATCATAGACACACAGACACAGAGACACCATTATAGAAACACAGACACAGAGAGACCATTATAGACACACAGACGCAGAGACATCATTATAGACACACAGACGCAGAGACCATTATAGACACACAGACACAGAGAGACCGTTATAGACACACAGACCATTATAGACACACAGACCATTAGACACACAGACCATTAGACACACAGACACACAGAGACCATTATAGACACATAGACCATTATAGACACACAGACACCATTATAGACACACAGACACCATTATAGACACACAGATACCATTAGACACACAGACACAGAGACCATTATAGACACACATACACACAGATACCATTATAGACACACATACACCATTATAGACATACAGACACAGAGAGACCATTATAGACACACAGACACATAGAGACCATTATAGACACACAGATACCATTAGACACACAGACACAGAGAGACCATTATAGACACACAGACACAGAGACACCATTATAGACACACAGACAAAGACCATTATAGACACACAGACACCATTATAGACACACAAACACACAGAGACCATTATAGACACACAGACACAGAGACCATTATAGACACATAGACACACAGAGACCATTATAGACACACAGACACAGATAGACCATTATAGACACACAGACACAGAGAGACCATTATAGACACACAGACAAAGAGACCATTAGACACAGACACAGAGAGACCATTATAGACACACAGACACCATTATAGACACACAGACGATCATAGACACACAGACACAGAGAGACCATTATAGACACACAGACACAGAGACACCATTATAGAAACACAGACACAGAGAGACCATTATAGACACAGACACAGAGAGACCGTTATAGACACACAGACCATTATAGACACACAGACCATTATAGACACACAGACACACAGAGACCATTAGACACACAGATACCATTATAGACACACATACACCATTATAGACATACAGACACAGAGAGACCATTATAGACACACAGACACATAGAGACCATTATAGACACACAGATACCATTAGACACACAGACACAGAGAGACCATTATAGACACACAGACACAGAGACACCATTATAGACACACAGACAAAGACCATTATAGACACACAGACACCATTATAGACACACAAACACACAGAGACCATTATAGACACACAGACACAGAGACCATTATAGACACATAGACACAGAGAGACCATTATAGACACACATACCATTATAGACACACAGACACAGAGAGACCATTATAGACACACAGACACAGAGAGACCATTATAGACACACAGACACAGAGACACCATTATAGACACACAGACACAGAGAGACCATTATAGACACACAGACACAGAGACACCATTATAGACACACAGACCATTATAGACACACAGACCTTTATAGACACACAGACACAGATACACCATTATAGACACACAGACACAGAGACACCATTAGACACACAGAGACCATTATAGACACACAGACACAGAGACCATTAGACACACAGACACAGAGAGACCATTATAAACACACAGACACAGAGACCATTATAGACACACAGACCATTATAGACACACAGACACAGAGAGACCATTATAGACACACAGACGCAGAGAGACCATTATAGACACACAGACGCAGAGAGACCATTATAGACACACAGACCATTATGAACACACACACACAGTGTATCCTCTCACCTTGTAGAGGTCCCTCTCGTCCTTCTCATTCTTCAGTTGGGTCTCCAGACTGTCTCTCTCTGCTGTCAGCTTCTCCAACCTGTCTCTCAGACTGGACAACAACAACAACTTCATTAATACCAATAATGTTCTCTCTAGTTTTCTGTACTGTATGTCATTTGAGTATAGTATCTATGGTGTGTTTCTCATCAACAGTCCAGTTAGTTTTCTTCTGCAGTCCTTTCTGTGTGACTCCCAGTAGTCTAGCTGTGTGTGTGTGTGTTTGTGTGTGTGGGGGGGGGGGGGGGGGGCAGGGTTTCCGTTAGCTGGTAATAGCCGGCTTTTAGCCTTAAAAAACAACAAAAAAGCAGATAATTAAAATTGGCGCCAGGCCGGGAGAAGAAGAAAAAATCCATTGCGAAATAATGCTTTTTATCCTCTTCATAGATGGAAATACATTTGATTGGTCATGCTTATCGGTCTACAGTATATTCGTTATGGATCGTATTTATCACACCCCTACAGCATACAGATAGAGCGCCTTTGAGTGGAAAATCTCTTCGACAGCGCAAGAGCTGCTGCTGCAGAATCTCAAACTGCAACAGAAGGCAGGCTTCATCAGCGCGTCACACACCACTTGGCAATGGGCTGGAGGCAGTAGGCTATGCATTTTGTAAACGCATACTTAAATTGTTTGAAACCTGAATGTTTTAATACATATTATGAGGCATGTCTTACCTTGCTTCAAAGTAGCCTATTAGATCTCTTCCTAAAATTTCTTACAGATATTTTCATCTCTGTGACATGAAACCGCTCCCATGTGCGGTGTTTGACAAAGGTGTTATTTGCTAATTGGAACAAACATTTGCGTGTAGACTACTGCCTTGTGCGCAATGCTGTGCTTATAATGTGAAGAAATAATAGTTTATCAACATTTTAAGAAACTTTCTGGCCTACTGGTTGGATGAATTTGAGCTCTATCTTCCCACAACTGTTCCAGAGTCTGTTTGGAATAGGCTATTTCTCGACAAGCTGACCAATAGAATAGGTAAACTTTTCTACTATGGGGGATTGAGGATTGACATAGGCTAGTGATTTTGCTGTTCGTTACTCGTCTTGTTGGCTGAGGAAAAGCAAATGTGGACAGTTATTCTAACATCTTCAAAGTGCACATCAGAATTCGGTATGAAGGACCACACATCGTTGCATGCTCAACTTGCATGTTCTGTTAATATGAATTACCATAATTAAAATGTGATTTCTGTCATTCTGAGCAGTGTGGGTGGACGCCCTAATCAGGTTACACACCCAATGCATATGGGTACGGCAGATTTCTCAAATGCCCGGTAAATTAAAATGTTGCCGGCCAAATGTCCAGTGCCACATTTTCCTAATGAAAACCCTGGTGTGTGCGTTCCTCCTCACCAGTCCAGTTCGGTCTCTTTCTGCAGTCCTTTCTGTGTGACTCCCAGTAGGTCCTCCTCCAGCTGTCTGACCCTGTCTGTGGCCTCCTGCAGCCTCCTCCTCACCTCCTCCCTCTCCTCTGACAGGCCCTGGGAGGAGCGCAGCAGCTCCTGCAACCATACCACAGGCAGCTTCAGCTGTCAATCACACTGTTAACCAATCACAGGTCCTGTCGGTCTGTCCAGTTAGACCAGAGGTGTCAAACTCAATTCCTGGAGGACTGAGTGTTTTCTGGTTTTTGTCATTTCCTCTCAATTTGTGTTCAATGAAGACCTGGACAACGAGATGTGGGGAGTTCCTATCTAATCAATGACCTTAATTGATCGATCAAGTAAAAGGGAGGGGGGAAATGCTGTAGATGCTTGGCTTTGTATTGAGTTTGACATCCCTGAGTTAGACCCTCCTTTATCAAAATGCTGTGTGATAATGAATGTCTGGCATTGAACCGCCCATTTCCCTTCAAAAGCACAGCGTAGTTTTCCATCCTAATGTTCTGAATAAGAGGAGACAAGGAGAGGAAGCCAGTTGGCGTACTATATATCCTGTATCTTGTACCTGGTCCTGCCAGTGATCTCCCCTGTTGGAACACGTTGAGAAGTAGGACATTAATTCACCCACAGCACACTGCACCTGACAGACCAGCACGCCTACATAAACACCCCTCCATCTCTCAACACACACACCCACACCCACACACACACACACACTTGTGCATCAGATAGACAGATACAGCACATCCATCAAACACAAATATACAGGTGTAGTATATAATATTTGCACACACAGTGTCACACCCAGATGTCATGTGTAGTTCAGGTACAGCCCTCTGGCTCCCTGGATGACTGTATGATTTAACTGCAGCCGTTTGGGAGGCACTTTAGCAGCGCATAAAGACCTTATAAAACGTGTTGTCGTAAAATTAGCAGCCGCAAAATATGTACTTACGTTTTCATGGTCCAGCTAAAGGATATTTTCATCAGTGCTGCACTATAGGGCCATGGTGAATATACTCTAAATGTTATTGTGTACTACACAAACGAACACGAGTACACACACATCACTTATTTAATAAGAGAAACCCTTGTTGAATGAAGAATCCAACATTAATAATAATAATCTGTGTACATTTTATTTACAGCGATTTAGTACTTCATAAAAAGAGCAAAGTAGGACATCTCTCAAAGCTGTCTAACACACACACACACATTCGTTTTACATAATAATAATAATAATAATAAGTCATTTAGCAGACGCTCTTATCCAGAGCGACTTACAGGAGCAATTAGGGTTAAGTGCCTTGCTCAAGGGCACATCGACAGATTTTTCACCTAGTCGGCTCGGGGATTAGAACCAGCGACCTTTCGGTTACTGGCACAACGCTCTTACCCACTAAGCTACCTGCCGCCCTCATACATTCCTTGTGGGGACCAAACAATTGATTCCCATTCAAAACCATATTTTCCCTAACCCCTAACTTAACCCTAATTCAAACCCTATACCTAACCCCTAAGCCTAAAATAGCCTTGTTTTACTATCCTTGTGAGGACTTCTGGTCCCCATAAGGATACTAAAACAAAACACACACTAGGAAAAAGCACCAGGGGGCAGTAAGAGACTGGTTTTGTTTCCATATCATCAACCTTCTCCCCTGACAGTTTCCTCCTCTCTCCTTTAATCCTCCCCCTCTTTCTTCTAGTTTCAGTGGGTTAAATCTTACTTTGCTGGTTAAGTCATATGGAAATGTTTATTCACTGAACAACACACCAAATGGTACTTAAAATAAATTACAAAATTGAAGTCATTCTCAGCAGTTGTACTAAGATGAAAGATGAGAGAGAAAGAGAGCGATAGAGAAAGAGATCGCGAGAGAGAGAGTAGTGCCCTTGTACAATGGCGTGACTGAGTCATCTTAGTCCCTAAACTGTGCAGGGCGTTTTTTCACTCAGGCGGTTTTGCAGATAACTGTCTCTCATTCCACACGCATTCTAAAAGAGGTTGCAAGTGGGTGGCATTGTGAGTGTGTGTGTAAGGGGGCTTGAGTGTGTGTATGTGGGTGTGAATTAGAATGTGTGTGTGGGGGGAGGAGTAGTAGTCTGTGTGTGGCCTTGATGTCATATTTGCTCACTCTGTGGTTGAGATGGCATTGCCCTGATGCCAGATGCCCGGGAGACCGTGTCCAGTTAGCATCCGGGCCCAGTGAGTCAGCTCGTTAACGAGGGACAGAGAAACGGGCATACATACACACACACACGAAACAAAAGAAAAATATGACACACTCTGTGCAAATACATAGTGCACACAGAGACACACACACACACACTGTTATGTGTGTTCAACTATGGACACAGATCATTCTTAAACTTCCTAAATGTTGATGTTTTGAACCTGTGATCACTGAATAGGAACTGGCACTCAGGTCTCCCTCTCCTGCTCCCTCGCTCTGTACAGTCTCCTGTGCTAAGTATTTCCCTCTCCTCTCGTCCCCCCTCCTCACCTGGTTGTGTATGCGTAGCAGGCTGCAGGTCTCCCTCTCCTGCTCCCTCTCTCTGTGCAGCCTCCTGTGCTCCTCCTGCAGCTGCTGGTTCTCCTCCTGCAGGTGGTGCATGGTCTTCAACAGCTCCCTGCGCTCCTGCTGCGCCTCCTCTATACGCTGCTGCTCACCAGAGGAGAGAAGAGGAGACTGTGTACTGGTAACATTTAGACGGCTATACTGTATCGCTCTCGCTGTGTGTGTGTGTGTGTGTGTGTGTGTGTGTACCTCCAGCACACTGCTTTTGGTGGTCACCACCAGTATGTCTGAGTTGCTGTCGTCCTCGGTAACGGTGAGACAGTCCTCGGTGGGCGTGGCCGGGCGAAACAGGAAAGGCGTGCTGGCGCCTCTGATGTCACCCGTGTGTGTGACGTAACAGAACTGATAGAACTCCCCATCACTCTTGGGAACATAGTACCCTGCGGAGGGAGGAGACAGTGTGAGAATGTTTGGAAGGTTGTGCAGCGTGGCATTATGAGACCGTATCGTCAGGTGAATTGGTTGCGTTTTGTTTGTTTAAAAAAAAAAAACTAAAAAAAACATTGTAAAGTGGTTATCCCACTGGCTATAAGGTGAATGCACCTATTTGTAAGTCGCTCTGGATAAGAGCGTCTGCTAAATGACGTAAATGTAAATGTAAGATAAAACTGGGGGGGACAAAAATGCAATTTCAGAATGTGGGGGGGACATGAGAGAGAAAGTAGCCAAACCGACTTGCGCTAGTTAGATAACTTATGGAAGCAACAAGTTCATCTATCATACCATCTGGTAGTGCCTGTTGACTACATCAAATCGTTGTAAAGAAGCTACAGTAGCCAGCTAAGTTAGCCAGCTAGCTAGCTAAAGTAGCAAGGCTAATTGAGGCTATTTTGCCTGCGCTTCCCATCCTTGTCTACATCAACTCCATTCATATTAAACAACAGCCTACCTGTTGGTTGATCATTGTAGCCTACTCCTTCTCATTTAGCCAACTGAATTCCGTAATTTTAATTCCATTTTGCATTGATTAGAAATCTTCCACTTCACATGAAGCCTCTGACTGTAGCGCCGCTGTGATTGACCGACAATAACAACAAGCTACACGTGTGAAACAAGTGTTTAGGGTAATGGTGCGTCTTTTTTTAATGGGGCACACTCTTAACAACTGTCATGAAACTGTTGTTTTATTTAAATGTTACTTATAATGTTCTGTCCTTATAGGCTATGTAGCAATATCACATAGATCATTTTATTGACTTTTAGACAAAGCCTCAAAAATGAATACTCTCCCAAGTAATCGAATACTAACGTCCGTTCGGATATTGGATTAACTGTGCCCATCCCTAAATAGGAGTGCTGATCAAGGATCTGGTCCCCCCTGTGCATATAATCATATGTCTGGTCCCCCCTGTGCATATAATCATATGCATTATGATCTAAAAAAATAAATAACCTAGATCAGCACTCTGAGAGGCATTGTGAACGTCGGCAGTTCACAGTCCATGGGCTGAATCCTGACTTTGTATAAATCTAATGTATGTATATATATATATATATATATATATATATATATATATATCACTTATCTTCCCTACCTTACATCTTAAACTCATAGTAAACACTTAATTCAATCAAAGGTCAGAGTTACAATCAGAGTAAAAGTACAGTAATTCAACTGCACTGTATTTGAGGTAAAGATCATGGTCTGTGATATAAACATATGCAGAGTTCCACTGACACCACAGTGGGCTCATATTTTCACTGTGTCATATCTGACCATGTCAGCTCCTGTAAAACCAGTTCACCGGCCCTCCATGGTGTGTGTGTGTAATATCTCTACAGAGGGAGAGAGGTTTTCAAGTCTCTGACCACGGTTCTGTTCCATCAATAAAATAAGGTAGCTGGTTTAATACAGGGACTGCTAAATCCAGGGGTTACCTTAGTATACCACAGTGCTTCCCATGCTCAGTGTGTGTGTGTACATGTACAGTGTGTGTGTGTGTGTGTGTGTGTGTGTGTGTGTGTGTGTAAATGTAAACTGTGTGTGTACCTTGGAACACCACAGCCCTGTGTACGGTGCTTCCAGGTTGATAGTCTTGCGGCATGGGAGACCACAGGAACGTGTAGTAATCCCTCGCTGTGTTCCAACCCACCTACAGACCCAACGCAGGAGGACAGGTTACAGCTAAACACACACACACACTACCATATTGTTCTCACAACAACACAGGACACACAACAAGACTAGGATCTCACAAATACCTGTTACGTACCTTGTTAATCATAATACAAGAGTGGTATTGCACAAAGCAAGATCAACAAGTTTAAACAGCCCAGCAGCCGAGAAGTAAAAAGCATTTATATCCCAGCTGAGTTGTGATAGAAAGAAAGCCAAAGTTGAAGATGGGTTAATGAGAGCATCAAATCAGTTCGTTTTACATCATGCACACCAGTTATTTTATATTTTAAGAGTAGGCTAAACCAAAATAATGTTCTATATACATTTATTTAAAACCCCAATCCCTCCCTCAATCCTTTCTAGTTCTCTCCTTGGAGAAGGTGTGTGTGCGTGCAAATGAGCCTGTGTGTGTGTGTGTGTGTGTGTGTGTGTGTGTGTGTGTGTGTAAGGGCTGACAGAGGGGAGCAGCAGAGCCTAGTTTAAAACGGAAGAAGACGCAGAAGAGAAAGAGGTGCTAATTTTACACATACTTCTAAATGGCGGGAGAGAGATGTAATGATATGAATGTCGTGTTGTTAAGTGACGGCTGATGAAGAGACGACAGAACATCATAACTAACCATACACCGTAAAACTGTCATACACAATCACTCTCCCTCCTTTTCTCCATCTCTCTCTGTTCTTCTCTCTCTCTCTAACAAAAAAACCTAACAAGATTATGAAATATTCATATTCTCCTAAATACTCGAAATTAGTGTTGAGTTCAAACTCAGGTGAGAGGGCATTCACTCTGACCAGATCTCCATGGAGACGGCCTTGGCTGAGAGTTACTGAAACAGACCATAATTTACTCAACATGAGTCATCCTATGGAACTACACCCCAGGCCAGTATTACCTTGATGTAGGGCTGAGTATACTGTCTATTACCATATACCGGTGTTGATGCACAGACCGGTTTGGGTTTTTACTTGACCTTCTATAACGGTATTTGAATGTTTGGTTTGTTAAAATGTGATATGCTGTGTGTAACGTCCATTTTTATAATTTACTTAGCTACTTGAGTCATCCCTCTCCTCTCTCTCGCTCTCCATGCCGCTTTCCACACAGACCTAGTCCTGCCCCGTCACTCAAGGATTTGTTCCTCGACCACGAGACACTTGCGTTCAGTCTGCATGGTCAATGCAACAATGTTGATGACGACGATGCTGTTTTCACTTTCCTTCTTAATGTAAATCCACTAGCGTTCTAGAATTACACTATTAGTTTGTGTTTCTTACATCTGCAAACAGCTAGTTTTTATTTTCTTAGCAAGTTGGGCCTAAATCTTGTTAGCCGCTAACGCTAATCGCTAGCTAGCTAATAATGTACTGAGTCAGAGCAAACTTAACTAGCTATACAGCCTGATAATACCAGTGATGGCATAGACCTACAGGGGAATGTTTTTTTTGTGCAACGGTATCTTCTAAATCAAAGAGTAATACACAAAGCAAGAATGTTAGCTACATGAAGTAGCTAGGAGAAAACATTAAATGTAGCCAAAGATTATAGGGTCCCCAAGAAAACACTTGTCAACACTTTGGTTTCTACCCTGTCACAATAACTCCTACCTGGCATTTTTTATTTGTTGTCATGTCAAACACTGTATTCAAAGTGCTCACTATTATATTCTAACTATAGAATTAGAATTATTATTCTATTTCCATGATTCCAACAGTTCACCCAAGTGTTTTGCTCTAAATCACAAGTCAAATTGCAATAAGGCCTAGATTGTTTACCCGATGATCGAGTTTGGGAAACACTGATCTATGGGGAGGTTTAAACACATAAATTACTTGCTAATTGTATAGTGGAGGGTTGCAGGTTGCAGGTGACTGGAGTTTGGTTTGGAGTGTTCAGACTCAGGAGTGATGTTATAAAATAATCACAGACGAAGCTTCCATCCATCATGACTTAGAGGTGTATGCACGCGGTCCGATGACATGTTAATTACACTCTTACTGCACGGGTTTCTCCCAGCTACATGCCACAACTCCACTACCTCCTGAATCAGGGGCTTTTTCAGAGCTATAGAGGTGTGTGTGTGTGTGTGTGTGTGTGTGTGTGTGTTTAACATCATAAGAGCTGATCCAAGTGCATTGATGCATATAATTGCATTAGAAAACAATATGTCTAAAAACTTAAAATCTCATTCCAATCTTACTTTGTTTGATACATGGGTAAGTGTGTTAAGTGTATGACTATTATCATGGTATCATCAGGGCCTTGTGTTGCCAATACCAATCCCTGTGTTACCAAACCCGGGTTTTGGAAGAAAGTATCAATGACAGTATATAGCCAGTAGGGGGAGCCTGTACCTAACCTACATATTGTGTGTCAGCGAGCCTCAGGGTGTGTGTGTGTGTGTGTGTGTGTGTCAAGGGTAGTGTGAGTAAGTGCCCAAGCAGCTGTGCTAGATGTATGTGTCTGGAGCTCTCTCAGTAGTGCAATCACACATACACACAGCGAGAGACGGGGGGAGGGAGGATGGGGGTTAGTGTCATGGCACAAGAGAAAAGCATTAGGAGAAGATAAAAGCGTGAAAAGGGAGGGAGGAGTGTTGGGTTGAAAAACTGACGGTTTTTGATAATTTCTCCTGTGACCGAGTTTCACTCTTTCATGCCAAGCTTTTCATGTGAAAAGCCTACCACCTCTAACTGCGGAAATAAACACTCTTTATCACACACAACACTTCACCATGAAACAGTTTTCATTAGTGCAGATTAACCATCTACATTTTCCAATCTACATTTTCCAAATAAACCCACCATCTATATTCCTTTTTAATTTAGCTGGGTGGATTTGAAGTAACTTCTTAAAGGATGATAAATGTTTGCTTTGTGTCTTTACGAGACATTAGGTTTCCTCGTTCACATTTCCTGTTAATTCAGTGTGAGATTTGATGGCCCTGATGAAAGAGAAGAGAGAGAAATAGGGAGAGGGCAACAAGAGAGGGAGAGGTGGAAGAGAGAGAAAGAAATAAGGATGTGTGCAAATAGAAAAAAATATCTGGTTAGACCAGAGAGACGGACCAGAAAATACCCCCCAGCAAAACCTATCTGTTCTCCCTGCCTCCTCCCACCTCCCTCTGTATATTTAATAACCACACCACAGCTACTGGAAAAATATCTGTAGAAGGAAATAGGCCAGCTGTACTCGCGACCCCAAGGGGTGCACGTTTTGGTTTTTGCCCTAGCACTATCAAGCTTTGATAATTTGAATCAGCTGTGTAACGTTAGGGCAAAAACCAAAACACTGAAATAGAGAGAAGAGAATCAGGTTGATGAAAGAAAGTAAAACAAAAAAGACATGATCTTTTAGTTGGAGGGTCATGAAGCTACATTTAGGACCTGTGATGACTGCATAGGATGACTGAATAGCTTCTGATGAGTCAATGCACCAAACTGTGTGAGAAGTACTGATGCAGGGCTAAGCGAGATCTAGTGTCGCTCACCCAGTCTTTGGGTGGGGTGTAGATAGGGTAGGGTGTACCTTAATAAAGATGCCCACTGGTCTTTGGGGTGGGTTGTAAGTAGGGTAGGTTGTACCTTAAAGATGCCCACCCAGTCTTTGGGGTTGGGGGTGATGTAGGAGGTGAGGGTGTAGCGACACTCCAGTGCCTCCTGGGGCAGGAAGCTCTTCCCAACGTTCTGGAAGATGACATGGGCAAAGTTTGATGTTTCCATGACGCCGATGACACTGCTGGGCGAAGAGCCCACCACCTGGAACGATGACATCATATCCTGTTTGTCACTTCATTTGTCCGAACTGCAGGGAAAATAATTAAGACAGAGAATATAGGGAAGGGATATGAAAAAATGTCTGGTTGGGCATGCATATTTTCTCCTCTCCTTCTCCCTCCCCCTCTCTCTCTCACACACACCTATCAAATTGACATTTTACCCATTTACAATAAAATGTAAATGAAGGCTACAGTGAACTGAAATGTAACATAGAATAATTCCAAGCCTGCCTACGCATGTTGAAATAAGGATATTGCAAACGTCAGACTGCATGAGATCATGTCAACTAAAAAACACACTAAAGGCTGCCAAGAGTTGAAGCGCGTGAGTGCCAAAACATGGACGAACAAATTTAACAACACAGCCAGCACAGGTGTCACTTACCACAGGCGCACGGGGAGTGGCTAACTATAGCTAGGTAGCTAGCTAATATTCTCTTGACATTTTCCAAGAGCCTGCATCTGACACAAACACATGTAAGATGATTAGCTAGCTAGCTATACTGTTCGTATATATAACGTTTCCCTAACGTAACTATCATGTTCATTGACAACTGGATCGATTAAGATATCTACGCATTAACCTGCAAGGGCCTTGTAGCTACCTAACGTCACGTTGGCTAAAGCGGATCTGACAACAAGCTAGCTTATCTTGCTAGCTAGCTAGCTAGCAATAACCTCAGGGTTAGCTATATGTCTTAGCAGGCCAAATCCCCTAGCAATATGACAACAACAGCTATTGTTTCCGCTTGAATCGATTCATTACCTGTCTTATGAATCCAAACTGCGACAAATTGTGTTTTAAAAGAAAAAATGTGACAGTCCAAACGCGGTTGTGGTCACGGCTTCAACCTCCGTTGTCAACGCATTGAAGATGCTGATGCTCTTCCTGAAATGGGAAAACTGATGGTGTCACTTCCGGGATGGGATGGTGGTGGTGCTGAGGAGAGAGATTCCAGTTGTCCCACGCGCAAATTCCAATGATGTGATGCCTCAAAACAATCTATTTGCAAGTATAAAGCAATGCTTATAATTTATGAATAATTTATAATTTAGTAGCTATCTCTGGCAAATGTCAGGTTATTTGCACAGTTGCTGCATATTTTCACTGGGAATAGAGCGAAACGAATGCAACACAGAGTGATGACGGAGTGAGTCTCTGCATGTATTTTGATAGAGATACGGGCATGAATTCACCAAAAAGACACACAGAACCAGTGGTTCGCAACCTTTTTCGGTTACTGTACCACCAACTGAATTTTGCTCTGCCCAGAGTACCCTTGAAGTACCCCCTTGTGTGCATTTTACCACTAGGCCTATGGTCTCATGAGTCTTCTCAAGTACCCCCTGTGGATAGGCCAAGTACCCCCAGGGGTCCTAGTATCCCTGGTTGGGAACCACTGCATTACACCACTGTAACGTTAAGTACATTTGATAGCCTAAATCAAATTACTCTACTGAGCATGCACATCAATTAGGGTAATAGCAAATATTACTGCCGGAACTATTACATTTGCACAGCATGTTTAGAAAGTATGGTTGCAAACTATGGTTGATTGAACGTAATCAAGGTTCCCCTTATCCGAAAATATTATGTTGAAACATGTTAATGACCACAAACGATTTGCGTTTGAGTAGTTTTAATCGTTATATTCAGTAATCTTGTATCAAACGAAGAGGCTGCACTCAAAACATTGCTGTTAGCGTTTGAGACCAGTTAATTACTGTATCTGACAAACAATCTTCTTCTTCTTCTTCTTCTTCTTCTTAAGTGGGGTTTATCGGCGGCTGGCATCCAACGTTATGGTGCATTACCTGACAAACAATGTCCTGTACAGGGGGGTTAAGATATTAACACACAGGATGTCCCGCCTTTACATTTTTTCCCATTGGTTGTTGCGCTCAGCTAAGATTCGTGAGTGGTCCAAATAGCGCTCAATCATGACCAACTCCCCTTTAGTCCTGGCTGTCAGCTGTCAACATTGTGAAGGGGTTTTTGTCTAGAAGGGATACAGCGTTTGTCAAAATTCACGAAGAGGTTTAGGAGAATTTACGCAGCAGGTTAGGATAATTAACGTAGCAGGTTAGGATAATTAGGCTAAGGTTCGGAAAATGGTTAGGGTCCGTCAGGGTTAGCTAAAATGCAACAACTTTTGACGTCAATTTGACAAAAGCTGTATTCTTATTAGACATGACCCTATAAACGCCGAGGTCAAGGGGAAATAAGCATGGATGCCTTGTTCAGAGGGTCTCGGAATCTATTGCAAAGGTGTAATAAACATATCGACCTGGTTGTCAGTGTCACGATCGTCGGGAACAGAGGACCAATGCGCAGCGTTATTTGCGAACATATTTATTAAATAAGATAACACGAACAAAAACAACAAAACGATAACATGACGTCCTTAGATAAACACAACCTACTTGGAACAAGATCCCACAACCACTGTGGGAAAACAGCCTGTCTAAATGTGGTTCCCAATCAGAGACAACCAGCAACAGCTGACACTCGTTGCCTCTGATTGAGAACCACTCTGGCCAACATAGAAATACTTAAACTAGAATGGAAAACACATGAAAACTCACACCCTGGCTCAACATACTAGAGTCCCCAGAGCCAGGGCGTGACAGTACCCCCCCCCCCAAAGGCGCGAACTCCGACCGCGCCAACCAAACACCACAGGGGAGGGACCGGGTGGGCACTCCGCCTTGGCGGCGGATCCGGCTCCGGGCATGATCCCCACTCCCTCTCTAACCCCCCAAAGTACCCCTGGTCCGGTCTGGCCCTGCTGGCCGGAGCTGGACTGAACACTGGTGGAGCGGATTGCTCTAGCTCCGGCGTGGAGCAGCTGACCGGTACCGGACCAGGCACCGGTGGAACAGGCACGGGCTGTGCTGGACTGACGACGCACACCACTGGCTTGGTGTGGGGAGCAGGAACAGGCCGAGCCGGGCTGGCGACGTGCACCATAGGCTTGGTGCGGGGAGCAGGAGCGGGCCGGACCGGGCTGACGAAGCGCACCACTGACTTGGTGCAGAGAGCAGGAATGGACCGGGCCGGGCTGGCGACGCGCACCACTGACTTGGTGCGGGGAGCAGGAACAGGTCGGGCCGGGTTGGCGACGCGCACCATAGGCTTGGTGCGGGGAGCAGGAACAGGCCGGACCGGGATGACGAAGCGCACCATAGGCTTGGTGCGGGGAGCAGGAACGGGCCGGACCGGGCTGACGAAGCGCACCACTGACTTGGTGCGGGGAGCAGGAACGGGCCGGACCGGGCTGACGAAGCGCACCACTGACTTGGTGCGGGGAGCAGGAGCGGGCCGGGCCGGGCTGGCGACGCGCACCATAGGCTTGGTGCGGGGAGCAGGAACAGGCCGGGCCGGGCTGGCGACGCGCACCATAGGCTTGGTGCGGGGAGCAGGAACAGGCCGGGCCGGGCTGACGACACGTACCACAGGCTCGATGCGAGGAACAGGAACAGGCCGGACCGTACTGGGATACACACCACTGGCCCTACGCAGGGATCAGGAACGGGCCGGACCGGACTGGTAACACACCCCAGTACCTCTCGCCGTGCCTCTACACTTTCCCTCTCCTCTGTGACCAGTGGCCCCCTTAACCTGGCGGCCTCCTCTGCAAACCTGCTGGACCGCTCCATCGCGGCCTCCTGCTGCCCCGTCGTCCACGGTGTGAGCCCCCCCCTAAAAAAAATCTGGGTGTCTCTCCTCCCCGTGGACCAAGCCTCCCTATCTCTCGCCAGACTCTTCCTCCACTGCTCCAAAGTCCAACCACTCTGCTCTTCATTTGGCTTGACCCAGTCGAGACTCTTCCTCCACTGCTCCCAAGTCCACCCTCTCTGCTCTTCACTAGGCTTGACCCAGTCGAGGTTGCCACGGAGATCCGCTAGCGATTCCCCTGGCGATGGCTCCTGGACATGCTGCTTGGTCCAGTTTTGGTGGGATCTTCTGTCACGATCGTCGGGAACAGAGGACCAATGCGCAGCGTTATTTGCGAACATATTTATTAAATAAGATAACACGAACAAAAACAACAAAACGATAACGTGACGTCCTTAGATAAACACAACCTACTTGGAACAAGATCCCACAACCACTGTGGGAAAACAGCCTGTCTAAATGTGGTTCCCAATCAGAGACAACCAGCAACAGCTGACACTCGTTGCCTCTGATTGAGAACCACTCTGGCCAACATAGAAATACTTAAACTAGAATGGAAAACATATGAAAACTCACACCCTGGCTCAACATACTAGAGTCCCCAGAGCCAGGGCGTGACAGTCGGTAACGTGTTTACATGTTTTCACCGTCTTTTTCGTGGTGTGCATGTACATAATAACAGAAAATGCAACCGAAAAATACATCCTAGATAAGAATTTGTGGTATGTGAGTGGCGGTTTTTCTGCATATCTTCTGAACAGTTGGTTACCCGCTGTGTTTTTGTTTTGCATTAGTTAAATACAATTTCCTCCCAAGTTGACGTTCATGAAATACGTCAATTTTAACCATGAACTGATTTCCAGTGACAGCTTGTAACAATGGACATGGCTATACGCTCCTCTATCTCACATCCCTATCAGTCAATTCTGTAAAATCATGTTTCCTTGACTCTTCATGCGACCAACTGGATGGAACCCAACGTTATTCGTGACTGTAGTAACTACCAGCATCCCTGCACAAGCCTGATCATTTTAATTTATGACAAGGCAGGGAACTCAGTCAGTCTCAATTTACTATTGTGGGGATCTATTTTCTTATAACTAGATGTGATGCCTAGCTTAGAAAGAATACATTAATGATTAAACATAATAGGTTTGTGCTGTACTGATATAGATTGTTTAACATAACAAGCTGTGATTAATGTGAGGAACCGTTAGGGGGTAGGCTGAGACAGACTTGTGATTCACACACACACTGCCTCTTTGTTAAACCGCTCAAGGACATGTGTTCTGCTACAAAGAAGAACAAACTATGTCTGAGTTTGCTGACTCGAGACAAATTGTAAAGATA